TTGGGAGGAAAATGAAAGGGTCCTGGCCTCTGGAACCGGAGACAGTCCAGATTCACACTCATAGTATTGGCTGAAAATGTAAGAGCTGCACTTAAGGAGGACTGGCCCTTAATTGTATGAGTTTTTCTGGGGTGGCATGGGCCTGTAACCATGGTTGAGGTTGGCTGGTTATATGTCTTAACTGAGTGTTCTTCTCTGGATCCTAATCTGAAAAGTGATAGGCAGCAGAGGAAGGGTGCACTAGGTTCTGCGCATTTTGTAGCTTTTTTAATGGGTGTAGTGCACTCAAATAGCCTAGACTTTGCAGACTGAGTTGGAAAGAGGTGGTGGAGAGCTGCTCCACTGCTTTCAGGTCCACGAGGCTACCTCGTAGGCAGAAGTCTCAGAGACACAATCGTCTCAAAGTGAAGCAAGGCTCTCAGTCCTTGCAGCTGACTTGTAAGCTGCTCATAAATCAGGCCAATTCTTGTTGGCTTTGGTTTAAGGCATGCCTAGGCAGAGGGATGGCACCAGGTATGGTAGAGAAAAGCAATAAGTCAGAGTCTGCTTGGAAATCCTACAGTCTAGGCAGAGCAGGCAGACAAATGTTGAGAGAAAGGGAAGGGTTGTTCACTGACTTTGTTGTAAGTTGACCTGATTCTTTGTCAGAAAACCTCAGTTTCTTAACGTGTCAAAGGAGAGTGACCTAATGAAACTCACACCGTCTGCTCTTCCAGTCCAGCACATGCTTTTTCGCCAGTGACTACCAACAAAGTTGCAAAGGTATGCACCAGTCTCACATCACTGTCCCAGGACTCGGCGGGTGCCGGTGCTTTGGGCATCCTTCAGCGTGCTCGCCCCACTCCTGCTGCACTTCAGCTGCTCCAAGCCTGCTGTTCAGTTTCAGTCCCACCCTTTTCCACCAAAACAGCCCCTAGCTCCTTCTGGAGCTATACCCCTCTTGAAAAGGGGCTGCTTATGTGCAGTCTTGCAGGAGATTTTAATAGTGTAGGCTGTTCTTTTCCAAGCCAGAGAGCTCTTATTAGTCAGAACTGGGTTATTTTAGTGTCCTCAGGCTGGAATGCAGATGCGGAGCCTGCACCTCTCCCAGCAGTGTCACCTGTCCCACCGGTCCCAAGCCCCCAGGATTTCACCTGCGGACCTGCACTGGCGGCCTGCACTCTTTCTGCACTGCGCTGACAACTTCTGTTCTGTATTTCCACTCGGGCTATTTTCAGTATGGTTTGCCTCCCTTGACCGGCAGTTATTAACATCAGCCCCTTGATTTTTCCCCGGTATTGTTGAAATCTATGCATATGCTGGTGATTTTGTATCGTTAATATAAATCCAGACAAGTCAGTGTGACCTTTCGCTCTCATGTCCAAAGGGAAGAATCGACCCTTGCAGTGGGTTGCCGCACAGCACTGAGTCATACATACTTCTCACAGAAATAATGCAGAAATTCCCCATAGTTTTTACAGATATTTTTTCAGGAGGTGAAGTGTAAGTCTTCCATGGCAACATAGCTTGGGAAAACTATGAAGCATGTAGCACCAGATAATTAATCTTTCTGACATGTGATACACTTTTTACTATCAATGTAGTCTGTTTATTTTTTGTCTCTTCATGTGCTTCATTCAGTCAAACTCAGCTGATCTGTTTGAGTTTCTTTTGAACTCCTAGTCCTCTCCAGTCTTATTCCTGCCCTCGTGTGTTCTCCAGTTCCCTGGGAGAGGGCTGGGTCTTATCCCACCTCTGTGACTTTGCAGCGATCAGTGCATTGGTACCATGCTTTCCTTTTTTTGCTTGGATTCTAATAACACTTTCTGTTTTTCCTGTACAAGATAAAATATGCTGTGTTTGGATATGTAGCACCACACTGAAAACAAAGAAAAAAATGTATCTAAAGTTCCTTAAAATATTAACTGAAATTTTGACTGATGGAGATTCACTCCAGTGAAGACTAATGATAAAACAAAACAGTGAACTTTCCAAAAATGGTTGCAGGGAAGCTGTTTTCCACTGGGATATGACTATCACAAGGAAATAATGTTTCTTAATCTTCCAATATCTGATTATTTGTTACTTAAAAAAAAAAAAAATCCATTCAAAATTAAAGTCAGGGCAAGCCCTTAAGGACCCAGTACTTCAATACTGGCCTTCCCAGTCAATACTTAGGGGTGGGTTTTTGATTGTGCTTGCTGTAGTGGATCCAAAGCAAGTTTTCCTAAAGTATGGTAATGACTAAATGCTTCTCCTAAATTATTATTTCTTTAAGGCAAAAGGTGCATATATATAATCTTTAAAATAAATATAACAAATCAGAGTACAAAATTGAGTGAAGAATGAATTTGACCGTTAACTTGGCAGGTTCTGTGGTTGTTAAACACATTGGGATTCCAAAAACCCTTTTCTCCCACTTAGAAAAATCTGAATTTTAATTGTACATGCCACTTGATGGTGACACCCTACTTGATAATGTTAAAGCCAAATATTTAACACTTGAAGATTTGTACTTATTTGTAGTCTTAGAAGACAGAAGCTGTGGCCACCTCCAGCCAGATGTTATATCCAGGTTGCTGAGATGTACTGTTTTTGTCAATAAATTCCTTGGAGTTAGCGAGCATTCCTGCTTTAATGTAGGGGGAATCTGACTTAGCTCTGCGGAAGCTCAAGTGTTTGTGGAAAGAGCTGTTAATCTTTGATCAACTGGAGTCTCCTTGTTACTGACTTTGATTACACAAGTGTACAACTTTAATTACAGCTTTTAATAAGCTTTCATTTTTTCCTAGCCACATTCTTTGTATAGTAGTGCGGCTTATCTTTTCCTTTCTCCGCTGTTCCCCTTCCCTTCCCCCCTGCCTTTGATGGAAAAAGTGGTTTGAGGTCATTGTGGGGGGGTTTGTGTCCAGAGACAACCCTCTGCAATGTCCCTGCCCGCAGCTCTTCCCTCTGCTCGCTTGTACAGCCCCGAGAGCTCCCTCCTCCAGCTGCCCTGCAAAGAGCTCCCCCCTGCACCAGCTGCTGCCCAGGGCCCGGTGGTCAGTGGAGGGGGGGCAGGTCTGTGAGATGCCGGATTCACACTGAGTTCTGCTGCACGAAACAGCTGAATGACCTTTAGAAAATCTGTGAAGCCAAAGGACGCACTGGCTCTTGGGTGTAATTCCTTCCTGCTGAGGGCTGCCCAGTCCTCCCCGTTGGGGATGCTCTGAAATGCAGCAGCTGAAGTCAGTGGCTGAGAACAGCAGGAAGCCAGTGGGCTCAGCGTTCATCCGTGATGCTTATTCCGCATCCAGAGCCTCGGTGTGCTGGATCACCTTTGTTTGTTAGAGAAATGACCTGGTGGAAGCTTAGTGGAGGACTTAAAATTGTAAATAAATGAGATATGGCTTGAAACAAGCATAAAAAATGCTTTCCTTTACTTGAATTATATTTTAGCCATGGAACTCATTGCTTTACAGTTTTTTAGGTGTGAAAAATAAAGGTGGGTTGAAGTCAGCTGGATAAATTCACAGAAGAAAGATTCATCAAGATCTCTTAAACACAACATACCCACCATTGGGTAGCCTGAGGCTTAGGGAAATTAAGTTCTGATTATCAGAAGCTAGAAGGAGGAACTAGAGATGCCTGCCTCTGTAGTGGTGTTTCTCAGTAAGCCTCTGTTATTGGCCCCTGCCAACAAGAGGACATTGGGCCAGTGCAGCCCATGGGGAAAGAGTATGGCTCCTATGGAAGTCATGAGGTGAAACTGAGGAGTGAATTAAAAGATATGAGTCAGAAAAAGACACAGTAAATCAGCAATTTACACCAATTTGACATTCAGAAGTGTGCAAAAAGATTATAATTTTAAAATGCCAATTGTGTCTGTGCAAGAGGGTAGCGGGGAAACAACAGAGCAGGGAAGGGAGCCTCTTTTATCTCTGTGCATGCATCCCTTCAGCTCCCTTGCTGTGCATGTTATACTCTTTTTGCACACTAATGAATATCAGAGTCAGAGCAAGTTATGTGATATATCATTCTACTCCTATTTTCTAATGAACTTACCCCTGATGGGTAGCTTTCCTAGCAATTCATGTCACGACTGAATTTTACCTTGACAATAGATCAAGAATGAGGTTGAGCAGTGTGGCCCACCTACTTTGCACTATTCCAGCATGACAGCTGCTTTGTGTCCTCAGGGTAGCTCTACTTTGATGCTTTTCCCTGTTTAGAAGAATTTGGAGGGAGGATTTTGGTAATCTCCAGCAGGCAGAGTTTTTAAACCTTTCTCAAGGGAGTAGGAAGATTCTACAGAATTTTTGAACAAATATTTCTGAAGCAAGTGGCATTGTTTCAGAACATTTGACTGTTCTTCCCACTGCGCCCCAGAACAAAGAGTTTGCCATGCTGGATCTTACCAGCTGCTGTTGGTGCCTAAAGCCTGCCTGTGGAAACCTCTGGAAGGGTAAAGACAAAACATCTGGTCACTGCAGGCATGGCCCTAGCTGTTAATGTGTGTGTTTTCAGTGCCTCAGAGCGCACAATATGAAGACCGTGTCCTTTGCTCGTACGGGTTCTTTGACATCAGAAATGCTGGAGTGAAGTTCTTCTAAATTTGGCTGCCTTTCTGGTTGCTCAAAATATCCTGCAGGAGTTCCTATAGCATAGAATTGAAATGACTGGTTTGTTAACTTGGCTGAACAAGCTACGGGGAAAGGGAAACAATAGAATGAGGTCACCATGGTGCACAAGTTGGCTGACCCTGGGTCATGGCCAGTGTGGTCGCACCGTTTGCTCGTTCAGTATCTCTGCCTACTGAAAAGATCTGTGTCTGCTTTCTGCAAGTCTTAGCCTTTGATGACACTTTCTGCATGATCCGCTTCAGCAGTGTCATGCATCAGCCAGCCTTTTTCATGTGTTCAGGGAAAGTAGTTCTGGTTCTTAGGTTTTTTTTTTAAACCAACCTCATGTCCCCTTTTTTCCTAGTCTTGTTTGAGGGAAAATGCAGTCTTCTTTAATCTCCGCCCTATCTCTTTTGGCAGACTTGGGGACCAGTTCTACAAAGAAGCGATTGAGCACTGTCGCAGCTACAACTCTCGGCTGTGTGCTGAACGGAGCGTCCGCCTTCCCTTCCTGGATTCGCAGACTGGTGTAGCTCAGAACAACTGCTACATCTGGATGGAGAAGCGGCACAGAGGACCAGGTTGGTAGCATTATGTCTGTGAATGCATGTGCATGTATGGAGGGCTGGCCACTGAACCCTCATGGGGTTTAATTAATAGGAACTCAAACCTGCTACAGGCCACACAGAAGAGAAGCTGCCTAAACCTCTGTGCCTGCAGGGGATTTCCTTTGGTAACTGCAGAGAGCTGATCCTAATTATTCTCTCTCTACCCAAAGAAGTGCCTGACATGGTAGTTTCTAAGACTGTATCACTGTAGCTCTCTTAATGCTATTGATCCTAGTCTGTAGCAGAAGACACAATGCCCTGCTCTAAGTAGGACTGGAATTATCTTCAGGGTGGAGAGGTAGAAGTGGAAGTCTCAGGTGAATGCTGAAAATAAAGGATTATACTGGGAAGCGTATACACTGGAGGTGAAATTCAGGAGGGTCCAGTTACAGGAATGAACGTTGTTCTGATGATTAGAGATGTAGGTATAACTTCCAGTTTTGATTTGGACAAGGTACTTGGATACCAGCTCCGGAGCCTCAGTTTCTTCAGTTGCAAAAAATAAATTGATAACGTGTCCTTAAAGAGCTTTGGCTAAGGTCTCTTCCAGAGCTCAGCAAAGCTGAAGGGAAAAGACCACCATCATTTTTGTACACTTTGGTCAGTCTTTCCTTTGTTAGAGTAAATTCATCTGAAGTGCTTATTTGGAAGGTGAAGGACAACCACCAGTTTAAATGCTAGAGACGTTGCTTAGACAGAACTCCTCCTGAAACCCAATGGAAATTTTGTTAGAGTATGGCTCAGTATCTGATCCACAGTTTGCACAGATTTTCTGAGAACACCAAACTGCATTTCTGTTGTTTGTTTGTTTGTTTGTTTTCTAGTGCATACCAGAGAATCCAGGCAGGGAGGGGCTAGTGTACATACACACTGGAAGCACAGTGTACACATGTGCATATATATAGTTGGCAGTTCCTGTAAACTATACTGAAAAAAATGAAAAAAAAAAAAAAAAGCAGCCAAAGAAAAAATCCAGATCTGGAATTGTGGGAAGGTGCAGGCTGCTGTTACCTCCTCCATCAGCCAGTTTGCAACAGCTGTAGTGGGAGGAACACAGAGGACATTTCCCTCCCCTCCTGAGGGCAGACTATGAAAGCAATTGATGTCTCTGAAGAGTGCTTAGCTGAAACATTCCCTCTCCCTTTCCTAGGATTTACTGAGGGGCAGATCCTTGCACTGCTCCTAATCCTAAAGAATCCAAAATAGATGTAGTATCTTGTCTTGCAATACGGCCAGAAAACTCTTTCAATAGTAAAATGCAGCCAGTTCTGGTGCAGGAGACAACAGGTGTTTTACCAGCATTAAAAATACCCTAAGAAGGTTTCATCTGCCAAAACTATTTGGGTAATCTGGGACTGCTAAATGTGGTTTATGAGGTTCTGGGCTAACCCTTCTTTTGAAGGTTCCTTCATGACCACAGTTGTTTTTTTTTTGTTCGTTTTTTTTTTTTTTTTTTTTTCCATTTAAAACTCTGCATTCCTAAGAGGTTATGCTTTGGTAAAGCTAGCTTGCTTCCTTTTTTTTTTTTTTTTTTTTTTTTTTTTTTTTTGCTAATCAGTTTACCTATGTAATTTCTGTAGCATCTGGTTATGAGTGAGATGCTATTTTTATCCTTTTGAACTCAGTCATAAACAAGAATACGTCCACTATATGCACAAGTAATGTTTTGGCAAGAGCATCTGCTACAAAGGTGGGCACAGACAGTCTTGAATGGGTCTCACTGGTGTCTCTGCACTTACAGAGGGAATCATCATAGAAGAGTTATGGCATCACACCAGGAACTGGGAGGTCTTAACACTTTGCTTCTCTCAGTCACTAGTTCTCTGGACTACCTTCAGAAAATTCACTGTGCAAATCTTTCTTTCCTCACTTCTGATACTGACCTGTTCTGCAGCTTCCCCTGCAAAAGAGGATCAGTGGCATTTCTCCTGCAGGGCTGCAGTGGGGACTAATGGTGGAACATTCTTCATAGAGAGTCTTAAGTGAATCAGGCCTTCTGCATCTGCTTCAGCCACCAAATCTGATGCCTTTGTTATTTTGAATTAGAATAATCAGTGTGAAATGAAGCAGCCCTCCTCCCCCATATTTGCTCTGCTCTTTCTTGATTTTTATTAGCCCATTTAGTGCTCCCTTGGGTCTCTTTGCATCATCTATTTCTTGTAGTATCATTATGGTGGGTCAGACCATCCCTCTGTAGTTTCAGCATGCCTGTTTTAAGGCTGTACACAATGTGCTTATGTCCATACTGAACATCTCCAAAAATTCTCTGCCAACCACCTTGGTATCTGTCTTGTGTGCTGTGTTCACTGCCATTTACTATCTCTAACCTGAAAAAATGTATAAAGACAAATGGCAAAGCTCCAGGACCTCTTTTTACTTACAGAGGGTTTGGAAAACAGAGGAGAGCCAGGATCTCAGTGTGTTAACCTGGTTTCTCACTGTCCTCTTTGTTAAAGGAGTCAGAAAACTGCATCTCCTGATAAACAGTTCAGGGTTAATTTCACACAATACTGCACAGAACTCCCTCCCTCTTTTCCCCTCCTCCCCCAGCCTTTCACAGGAGCTTTGAGTTATGACTCTCCTACACTAATGAGATAAACAACATAACTCACTGCAGGTTCTGCTATTTCCTCTGTAAGCAAATGGTTGGAACCTTCTCTGGTTGCCCTATAAGGCACCAGAGGGAGAGACAGCTCAGCCAGGGCTGAAGACAGTAAGACCTGTATATGTGTTATTTCCACATGCACCAACTGTGTGGGGGTTAGATTGAAAGCGTCCAGAACAGAGCCTTTTCTCATTGCTTCTCTTCTGTGTAAACAATCAAAGATGCACAGTTCGTGTGAGCCAGCACAGTGACAGATGGGGGCCAGGATAGAGGACTGAAGATAGTATTCAATGGGTTTGGATCAAGTGGAGGTTCAATATCTGTCTCAAGTTCACGGGATAGCTTCATATCAACGAGCAAGGGTATTGTGAATAGGAATAGAGAGCTTGCCTCAAGCAGTTTAGACATAGGTGTTGGAGGAACTTAAGAGCCTATCTGCCACCTGCATGGGCTATATTCCCTCTAGGGAAGAGCCTTTCCCACCTCTATTTCTTCAAAGATACCTGCTCTGTTTCTTGTTGGCCTCTCAGCAGCTGTGGTTGGCTTTCACTGTCCTGGCAGAATCCAGAATTGCTAATTCTTATGTGAATTCTCAATAATTGAACCCACATTAACAGATACTCCGCCAAAACCACAATGGATCTTTGCTTCTCTTTGTCTGGGACAAACATTCAAAGCTGTGGTGCCCATTTTATGCAAATGACTCCTCTATGGAGGCCTGTTCAATGGGAGTCTGATCCTCTGTCCTATTTCTTTCATCTCGCAACCCCCCATTTGAATGTTGTGAGCAAGGTCTTGCACAGGACCTACTGTTGAAGGGTGAGGCTTCTTGGCTCCACCTCTTTAATGACTCACACCAGAGCCAGGCAAAATCTACCCCATTATAATAGCAATTGTTTGCAGTGGTTAATGTTTGCAAAGTGTCATGAAGAAGTGTGTCAAGAACTGTAGAGGTACTGGTTATTCGTATTTTATTCATAAACCAGTCACATGTGCCCCTTTCTAAAATATATCCTTCTTGTTGTGGGCATAATGCCCAGCAAGCTGTGCAGCAATGAAAGAAGGGTGTGAAAAGCCCCAGGCCAATAGTGCTTTGTGCCCCAGAACAGCCAGGACCTCTGTGAATACTCCATCACTCAGCCATACCTAGCTAGGACGTTGTAGTTCCTCCGTTTATGCACCAAGACCTGGAAGCAGGTGGAAAGTGCTGGGGTCTGCACTGGCATTCCCAACAGCAGAACTATTTCAAACCATGAGCGTACAGAATTTGATCAGCCCATTCCCTTGAGGTGAATAATTTTGTTGTGTCCTCTTTTTTTTTGCCTAGTAACTGGATATTGTTTTTATTATTATTATTATTATTCTTGTCTGGTTCAGTGAACCAGTTTTGTACTCGAGCTGCTGTGCTCTCCTGGCTGTTTCAGAAAGGACGCCAGAGAGCACTTGGGCCATCCTGCTGTCCTCAAGCTGTTCTGCTTTACTCACACTGCCTTAATGATGTCCAGCTGTTCACTGTTGGTGCTATTTCAGATATGGTAATGCTACTCCTGTCCTCTCTCTTATGTCGTCTTACCTGTTTTCTGAGGGTATTGAGTCTGGAGCTTTACCGATGCTCTGTACCCTCTTCAAGACTAATAGCGGCAGCAGAAGGATAGAAGAGTCAAAGCAGAAGCGGTGGACAGAGAGGGCAGGGAAGCAGAGGAAGACAATGACATTCTTCCAACAATTCTGGGTCTTTCTGGGTATCAAGAATAGCTGGGGCAGTTGAGGATACTTAGAAGCACTTGGCAGTGTGCTTCTGTGCCCCTAGTAGTAATGCATTCATGATGCCCTGCTGCGTTTGCAGTACTAGAGAACAAAGCATAGCTTGAGCATTGGCTAAGGGGGGCTGCCAGGAGAGCCAGGGCAGCTCAGAAGCCAGCAACACCAAATGTGAATCAATGGAGCATGCAGCAATATAAACATTACTGCCGTATCTCCTCCCTCATTCAGGATGTGGGCATGAGGAAGGTAATAACCAGAATGAAGAATCTGTCTTTAAGCAAAAATCCAGAATTTAGGCAAAAATGCAGTGTCCCAATAACCAAACCTCATGGATCTTTGTTTGCTTCCACTCAGAAGACAAATTTTGTGAGCAGGTCTGCATATCAGGGCCTTATGATTTGTGTGTCGGAACTTCATCTCTTCTCTCCCAGGGGGCTTTCACTGCCTGTGGAGGAGGCATCGCCCCTGTGACCCAGGAGAGTCTGAAATTCTATTTACCCTGAAGAAATCACAAATTATTTATGTGCAGCTCTGGTTTCAGTGAGCTGAGTGAAGTGTATGAGTGAGACCTAGATTCTCTGTAGGCCTGATCCCAAGAGGTACTTAGGAGCCTCCAGAGCACTGGATGCCTGGAGTGCATAGTTCTGCCTCACAATTTGCAGGATTGAACCTTCTGACAAGGAGATGCTGAAAGGACAAGAGCAAAGACGCTAGAGACAGTGCTTGTGGTTTACAAACTGAAATGTGATTATATTTTATTTTTTGCCTCTAATCTTCAGGCCTGGCCCCAGGTCAGCTGTACACGTACCCGGCACGTTGCTGGCGCAAAAAGAGGCGTTTGCATCCCCCCGAGGATTCCAGGCTGAAGCTGCTGGAAATTAAACCTGGTACGTATTTGTTTGTCTCTCTCTCCTGTGCTGCAGAGCAGCTGGCATACATGCAGGCCTGGCATTTAGACCTTGGACTCCATCTTTGCCCCTGTCTATCCATTTCTCCTTGCATCTGTTGCATCTTATCTCAGTTTGCTGTAACAGTAACCACCAAGCTCTCTGTACTTAGCTCACCCCTTGCAGAAATGTGCACGGCTTGTATTGGATGAAATGGGAGCTGAATTTACCTTCTGCAGGGGTGAATCCCGGCATCTACAAACAAATTTATAAGGATGTAAAGGATTTATTACTAATTACTGCCTCAGTCTGTTATTAATACATAATCTCACCCTGGCATCTGCTGCCTAGTCGTTGTGAAGACTGCTGTGTGTAGAGAATAGTACACTGATAAGATTTTTCGTAAAGGGACCAGAGGTGTGATCAGATTATGAACACCAAATACTAAAAATTGGTGAGGATATGCCACACACATATGTGTGTGTATGCCTATATGTGTATCCTAGTCCACTCTTCTTTCAGTGTTGTTGTCCTTGGTAATCTTCCCCCACAATTAAGCTATGTGAAGTGATGAATCTGGATGCTGAGCGAGTGATTGTGAAGCAGATGTGGAGGAGCTGCAGCTGTCAGGTAGAGTGTAGTGCTGTGCATTCTTCCCTGCAGTTAGTAATAAGGTTTGCTGTCTTTGTGGTCAGCTATTATGAGAAAGAGGGAGCACACACAGCTGTATGTGATTTTTAAGAGGCAAGACACTGCTAGTATAAAAAGTACAGAAGAAAACCCCAAAATGTAAATTAAGGATATTTTAAAAAACAAAAATAAACCTGTTTGACGGAACGAGATGTCTGGGAACTGAGCTATACTCAGCAATACTGATGTAAAATCAGAGGCAAAATTCTCATTGATTTTGGTAGAAACAGGTTTTTGAAAGCTCCCTATCTTCAAGACAGCAGATGTCAACAGGCTATTGTACAAGATGAAGAGATGCCTGTAACCACTGATTTGGGGTGCAGACCAAGGACAAAGTCTCAGGCAGCAGATAGAACCAGACCTCGTGGCTGAGTCAGTCAGAAAGAACTGTTAAAATCGGTCAGTTTACTCTGATGTCAGTGAGACTGGACTCGAGGAAGAGGATGGTGTTAGCTCATAGAAATCTCTACCTCAGACTTTTTGATGTTCCAAAAACTGTTGTGCCTTGGTTGTTTAGTAAGGTAAAGCAGTAATGTTGAGTTTGATGCTTCTTTGTTTGCATTATGCTTCTTTGCTGTACTCACTGAATGCCAAATTAGTGCATCCTACATGCCACAGGGCATGAAAGGCAATTACCACAAAGTTATCAGATAAAGAGACCTCAGCATGTCTGTCTCTGTGTTGTTTTCCCTGCTATAAACATCTCTTCTGCATCTCAGGAGTGCTACTTTTGTTGCATTGCCAGTGGCAGCCAAATAAGGCAAGTTATATTGCTCTGCCATTTAAATCTATTTTCCAACCAATTTCTATCTAGTGATTAACTTTCCTTATCAGTTACACCACGAAATAATTTCACTCCATCTGTGCATATCTGGAATAGACTCACTAGCAAAAAATGGGATTTTTCCCGTCTTGGATTTAAAAGTACAAAAGCCACGGAAAACATTGGAATTTCATTTAAAGGTAGCTTTTGATGATTTTAGAAAATGATAGTTTAGGTTATTTGCAACATGGACAGTAGAAATACTGTTCATTTTTGGTGAAAAATGCTATGGGAAAGCCTCGTGCTGAACCTAGGAATCTACCTCATGCTGTCTTCCTTGTTCTGCAGTTAAACATTAGGTGTCTGTGTGGGGCACAGATACGGCAGTTTAAGATCCCTTGAGAAGTACAGAGATGACAACCATAGAACATATAAAATACACTTGGCAAAATTCTAATTTAAATATATAATAGTTTCATTATGCCTAGGTCTTGGACTCAGGGCTTCGAGCTGTTCTCAACAGCTAGCTACTGTCTGCCATGCTTGTACTGGCTTAATATGAGAGTAGCTGATTTTTATATAGGAGTCTGTTGAGTTGGGTATATGTTATACAATATATGCAAGCAGTACAATTCTATAACATCAAATTAGGGTTAAACCTTATTTTTATTGTGTTTTACTTTTGCTAATTTCTTAGAAGTACTTTTAGTAAAACTGCCACTGCAACAGCACAGAAGGGGATCTTAGCTCCAAGATTTTTCCAATCCAGCAGTTAGTGGGATCAATACAAGAGGGTTTCAATGCTTGCTTGGGCTTCTGGAGTGGCTTATTATACAGATAAGTTGTATCCAGAAGTTCAAGACTTCTACATCATTTTGGGGATAGCAAAACAAAAATCCTAGGGCTATGTAAGTTACAGCTAGTCAGCAGCTGGTCAGTAAGCAGAATCAAACTATTGTCTTGCTAGCAACTTAAGGGTGTAGTAAATCATTTAGCAATAATACAGCATTCATAGCTGTAACCCACTTTTGCAGTGTTGGTACCTTGCAGCTGTAGGTAGTACATGGTGCAGCTCAGTGCCTGAGAGTTTCATATTTGGTAATACCAAAAGTTAATGAAGAAAATATCTCAACATTTTCTGTTTCCAAGAGATTGTGTTCCAAGACAGAATCATTTTTTTTGTAAGATGCAAGTGCGCTATAATATTTTTCTTGGGGTCAGTTGCTGCCTGCTTCTTAATAGAACATGCTGCTTTTACTGTCTTGGTCTGTTGCTCTTATTTGTGAAGTGTTCCATTTTAAGCATAGTTACAGCTAAAGTTGTAAAGATCAGAACAGTGGAATGGAGGTTGCTGATGCAGCCTTTAGACGTCCATTTTCCTCTGCCCCTGTACTCCGAGTTAAGTGCATGGATTGCCCTAGTAAAGTTTTTTGATCAAGGGTCTAGCAGTTTTCATGTTAGCACTATTTCTAAGCATCCTCCATCCCATTCCAATAGATATGAGGTAGAAATAAAGTATCACCCAAGCTTACTTATGATAACTGCCTCAGACAATTCAGTCAATATTATTACCAGACCTTTAGGAATTACACTAAGTATTCCTGACATTTAATTTCACATGGACTGGTCTTCATCTTTCAGTGGTACATTCATATCATCACAACTAAACATTATGCCTCAAGAGCAGCCAAGTTTTCATCAGTGTAATGGATATGATCTGTTACATGAATCATTGTAGTGTAGCAGCCAAGACTCCTATGAACAGTGGTATAGATCTGAAGCAAATTCCCAGTTGTGGGCAATATATTGATATCTTGGTCATTCTATGATTTTCTAGGTAGATTGTTAAAGTTATCAGGTGTTGATACTTCCGTGATATTCATGAAACTGGACTTCTGCCTTGTTCTGTTCAACTAAGTATGGGCAAGCCTGCCTCCCTGCAAAACTGGGCAGTGGTATTTGCATGGGGTCTCACTGTGGAACAATGGAAGGACTGGAAGCCAGTCATGTTTCCACACTCACTCCTTATCTGGCTGTTTTCCTTCTAACCAGTAAGAAGAAGAGCAGAGCAGAGCTCCCGTGCATGGGAGGTCTGTGAGTCTGGGAATGGGTGTGAGAGAGAGTTGGGCTGGACTGCGGAGCTTTTTATTCTACAGGAAAGTGAGAAGGAAAATTTTCCCCAACTCTCCTACCAGCACCTTGAATTGCAGGTGCCACAAAGGCCAGCAGTAAGGTTTTGGTCTTCAGTAATATCAGAGCAGCTGGAAAGATGAGGGTTAGAAATGGAAGAGAGATTACATCCTGATTACACACAAGTACCTTGGAAATCTTAATTGCTCCCTGTGCAATATGCTTGGTGGTTTTGTGGCAGTGGGTGATAGCATGTTTCTGCGTTGGGTCAGACATCAATATTGTGAAAGTGGTATTACCTACAGTAAACCCTGCTGACAATCAGGTATTACAGAAGCTTTGCAACTATGTGGATGAGAACAGATAGGATGTCTATGGCCAAAAACTCTGGTGGAATTTAAATTGGTAGTGTCCCACTTCAAATTTACAAGATGGCTAAATATAGATACGTACATAAAATACACACAGAGCTTTCAAGTATTTCACGTGCTATGTAAGTGTAAAGAATACGACTGGAAAGTTCTTGTCTCAGTTCACTGCTGTCCTTTGATTTTGAACTGAAAGGCAACAGCGAGGTCTCAGAGCTGGCGGCCTTCCCACCCATTTGGTGGGTGTGGAGTACAGTTTGTGTGTGCTGCCAGTCTGGTGAGAATGAGCTGTGCTAGAGTTTGTTCTGTTACTTATCTCTGGGCAGTCTAGTGTTCAGCTGACTACAGAAATGGCTTTTGTTTTGTTTTGTTACCAGCTTTGAAGCGGTAAAAATAAACAAAAGTATTATTTTTCATTTGCTGTGGTGGACCATGGTAGTATTGTTCAAGGCAAGTGCCAATATCAGATTTTTAGATGGCCCTTAAACAGTGCCTGATCTGTCTGTAATCTGACATATGGAACAGACCACTGTGATTGTGATTGTGAACAAATGAATGGAGTCCTTACAGATAAGCTATTATCTCTCCAAAGCATCTTGACTTACCTTGTAGAGACTGTGTCTGATTGCACGAAGTGCGGTGTTTATCCTGGGAATGCTGAGTGCCCCCAGCTCTTGTGGATGATGTTCAGCATATCCATGGAAATCAGTGTTCTTTAAGATGGGGCACTTCACCAAGATAAACTTAAGATGAAATTAAAAAGCAAAGGACAGAATTAGCATTAGTATCACTTATATGATAGCATCTAGAGACTCAAGTTAGACCACTATCCTGGGGATCATTGTGATCATTGTGAAGTCTCCTTATACTATCTGCTATAGTCTTGTGTTGTAGCATATATTACAGCCCAAATATATAAAATATATAAAGGAATTCCTCCTGTTCCAAAACAGATAAACCAGTGACAAAGTAAATTACCTGTATGAAGATCTGATCAGAGACTTGTGGTAGAGCTGGAAATTGAACCCAAGAACACAAAGAACTCAGTT